ATGGGACCGGGGATGGGACGGGGGACACGGTGGCTAGGAAAGGGCGAGAAAGAGAAAGAAAGAGGAAGAAAACGAGGCACCGCGCCCGCATAATACGGCCGTCCTACCGTGGACCACGTCGAGGCGGCCAGTTGCCACTGGATTGGCTAGCCTCCATGTGTGGGGGCGGCCTGGCCGGCAACCCGTTGAAAATATAAGCGTGTGTGAGTGTCGGCTGATTAGCCAGAGTCAGAGGAGATCGCCGGTGGCGCGAGGATAGGCCGCTCTCTTCTTCGCGATCCAACCAGCCTGGTCAATAGGAGAACCGGGAGCAAACCGGGAGATCCATTCCGCGGCACACCGTCCTCCAAGGTCCTGCCGCTTGTTTTCCCTGCACGGACGGGGCAGAAACTCGCTGGGCTACGCCACGGGGCCAACGTTCGCCGCCGCGGCCGCTTAGTTAACTCCGGTTAAAACTAATCAAAATTAATCATAACCCAGGCAACAATTGATCGCAATTGGTCCGGATTCCATTACCGGCGCCGCTAACGCGATCAACCGTACGCGTGCTTTTTTGCATAATTGTCGCGGATCTTAACCAGGAGTCACCCGAGGAGCCCGCCGCCGTTGGTTCGTCGCTAATTGGGATCGGTCGGCAGGTATCTCGTTCCGTTCGCTGCTTCCGAAACGGGATTCGGGAGAGAAGCGTCTTCCGATCGTCGAGGAGAGGATTTACCGGAGAACTTACGGATCCGAGTCTGGACTGTGCGCGCGTGTCGCTCTGTGCACACCGAAAAGTGCGGTTGATAACGGACCGGAGGTGTGTACCAGCCGAAGAGAAGGAACGCCAAGTGATTTATTCTATATAGGCTGGTCCGCTGGAAGTCGCGCCGCGAGGAAGAAACCGATCATGGACGGAGGACCTTTCGACGATCCGATCTTCTCCGACTTCGGCGGCAGGGGTGGCACAGGTGTCCACAGTATTCAGGTGATGCTGGGCCTGCACGTCGGGCACCACGGCGGCGATCTGATGCCCACCGGCGGACACCTTCACAAGCTGGACTCCTCGAATAGTCCGCCGCCTCATCATCAGGCCTCTCATCATCACTTGCAGCAGCAGCAGCAGCAGCAGCAGCAGCAGCAGCAGCAGCAGCAGCAACAGCAGAAGGAGCTCAAGGAGCTGGAGCTCGCCGGGATGTACGCGCCGCTTCCTCAAACTCAAGACGTGACCACATCGACGTCCAGCGCTGCGACGCCGACGTCCACCACTTTGCAGCAGGGTCTGCAGTTGGGTAACCCGTTGAAGAGGAAGCCGGAGGACCCGATGAACACCCTAGCGCCAGGTTCGTGACGAGTGGTTCGTGTCTTCGATGTTGAATTGTGACACGACTTATCGCGACGCTTACAGTTCTTATTCCTGTAACGGATCGTTTACCAATCGCAAGCCATTGTATCGTTTCTACGTTAATTAAACTACGAATCGTACGCATCTATGGTATAGTGCTGTCTTCCGTTCTCCATTCGCCCTTCAGAATTCCTGAGATTCCAGTTAATTCGCGAACGCTGAATCATCTTTCTAATTCGTGTTGCAGTGAACAGCGAGGCGCAGCCGGCCAAGAAAGACTCGAAGAAGAAGACCGACAACAATGGCATTAAGAAGAAGAAGACTAGGTACCTTGACATTCACCTTAGGCGATGACGTGTTGTAAAAGTTAATAAAAGCAAAATCTAATAAACGAATACTTTCGATACGACAATGTACAGGACCACGTTCACGGCGTACCAACTGGACGAGCTGGAGAAAGCGTTCGAGCGTGCACCGTACCCGGACGTGTTCGCTCGCGAGGAGCTCGCCGTGAAACTCGCCCTCTCCGAGTCCCGGGTTCAAGTTTGGTTCCAGAACCGGCGCGCAAAATGGCGGAAGAGGGAACCGCCACGGAAGACCGCCGGTTACATGGCCGCTGGCTCGGCTAGTCCAGGCTTATCAGGTGATTTACCGTTCGATTAAAGTAAAGATAGTAAGGTCGCAGTGCAAGTACATGCCATGCTAGTCGCATCTGTTCGAGTGGTGGCAAGTGACGGTTTGACGGTTTGACGGTTTGACGGTTTGACGGTTTTTCTCCTCTTCCAGGATCGTTCACTTCTCTGAACAACACGTTAAATCCATTCGCCTCTCCGACCACAGCGACAGCGCCACCGGACGCCTGGGCGTACTCGCCAGCCTACGACCTAGCGCCACATTTGAATCTGTTGAGTCCCTCGAACTCGCCGTACTCGACGTCGTTCGGCGGGCCGAGCAACAACGGGACCTACTCGTACGCGACCATGCTGCCGCAGCACGACGCGTCCTTGTTCTCGGCCCCGTCCGGCAACACGATGCGGGTGCACCAGGACTACATGAACGCCGGGAACAGTCCGCCGCCCCCGTTGACTCGCAACGATTACCAGACGATGGTGACCACCCACTCGCCACCTACTCACCTGGCCAACTCGATGTCCGAGGAGGACCATCAGCAGAACAAACAGCTGGACTACGTGAGCGGGCTGAGTCCACCGGACAAGTATCAGCACGAGCAGCCCGACTACACGCAGCAGCAGCAGCAGCAGCAACAGCAGCAGCAGCAGCAACAGCCTCAACAGGACCAGAAGCAAGACTACGGCATGCACTCGCCGCAGGGACGTCAGGGTTTAAAGGACCAAGTGATGGTGAAGAGTGAGCCGGCTAGCCAACAGAACTATGTACAGCTGCCTCCTTTTCTGAACTGACTCGAAATCTCCGCTCTAGATTCGCTCCGAAGCCTTCTCCATATTCAGCTATAGATTTCAAATCAGATTCAGAATCTGGGAACACGCGTCGTGTTGTTGCCAATCATTATTTTCCACGGCGTTTACCAAATGTAAAAACAAACCTTACCAATGAACGACCGAATTAATCGCGACCGCTGTAACGGTGCCAACAAACAATTGGAAAGGCGATTGAATCTCGATGGAGACGCTAAGAACGTATAAGAGGATCATTCGAAACTAACCGCTGTAGGCTGTGGGACCTGAGTGTGGATAATATCGAGTCTAGTATAGAAAGTGTTCCGATTCGAAATTCATTCTTAGTCGATTCAGAAGAACGTTGAACGAGACGGGGTCGGGGTCTACTCCGGAAACATAGACTTCCAAAAAGACATACAGCTTTACACCAATTATAGTTTTCTTATTAATGCGAGTCCTCTTCGGATTATAGGCGTAGGATTTTAGATTTCAACTTAATTATCCTCACTTTCACTTTTAATATCTGTAAATGAAATTTCATTATTTTAGAGATATATTTATTGTTTGATCAGCTATTAACATTTCAATGAGAGAAGGAATCGCCGCTCAAGTTTTCCCTGTCTATTCGACATTTCTATTTGTACTTTGAAAATTACATTGCTGGCATTCCTTTTCTAAAAGAAATTCGAGTAATTTCGATTAAGAGTTGATGATTCTTGTAGCATTTTTATCATAGATATATATACATATATATATATATATATATATATATATATACATATATGTATATATATATATATATGAGATTACCAAATACTTGTAAAGGTAAACGTGAAAAAGGTGGGAAACGTGGAAAACGTGTTAAATTAATTAAAATTGCGAGTCTATTAAATAAGTAAGTGCATTCCGAGTGCCTTGAAAAACATAGCTTAATACGTATGTGTTCTTACGAATGAGTGTGACTGTGTTTGTATCTTCCATTTCTATTTCTTCTACATTTTCTTTTAAGGAAAAATTTCATAATGGCGACCGGAGTTTCAACATGGCAATGCTCCGTAATGTTATACATATTTTACGGTGATATTGTATATTAAAAACGTATTGTGCGTGGTAACGTTTGTTAAAAAAAATATATGTGTATATATATACATATATATGTAATGTTATATAATGTTTGCATATTGCCCTACTCTTATTTCTTGATCAGAATACTATTAAGGATAAATTATAAAAACGTGTAATGGTCGATTTGACAACGTTGTTTCGAAAATGCCTTTCCAAAGAAACTAACTTGACGGTTATCTGGTATATTAATATTTTATTTGTATACAAACATAATCTTTAATAAATTAACGAAAACTAATAAGACCTATACGAAATTAATAAATTCTAGTACTACAAGAAATATATGTCTTTTGTCAACACAATAACAGCGTTCACGTAAAATCTTCGGTATATTTTGTTTCGATAATACTAACATTATTTACAGATTCATCTGGATGTTCATGCTTAATCTCGTCTAGATCTCTGAACATGTCCACTGTATCGATCTCATGTTCGTCACGATACGTTATCTGCCAAACACCATCACCACTGAAATGATGTGATTTCTCTAACAAGTATAGGCATAATGCGAGGCGTTGTTTCTCGGTGAAATTATACCCTTCTTCCAGATTATATTTTTCGTATACTATTTTACGCACTTTCTCAACTGCATCCCTGTATTAAAGACAAAGTTCCCGACATGTGTTACTATGAAGTTTCAATGTTTCGATTAAAAGGATTACTTAATTATTCCAATGAAATACGTAGTTTTATACGATACAATTCTTTTGTACCGATCATACGCGTGTGTTCGTATTAAGTGCATACGGACTTACCGTGGATAGAGTATAATGTGAAGGTTAGCAACTATGTCTTCTTCGGAATAATGTTTCTTTAAATAAACAATCATTTGATGTATTACAGTAAATGATACGACTTTCCAGTGAGGATGCCTCGTCAAATATTCAACTAGACATTGTTCCTTTGGTTCAAATTCTGTGTTAAGTATATGTCTCAGATGCGTTCTTCTAGCTACTCGAGGATGACGTCCGTGTGCATGAGTTCTGTGCAAAGAAATTTCCAATTTTGATGAAAACATTTCTGTAAATTCAGAGCAAATAGTGGTTTTTCGTGTATTCTTGTTCTAACCTTAAGAAATGATCTCGTGTAGAATAAATGGAATAAAATGAAACAAAGTTTAAATTATTCATGGCCTGCAGCATCTGTATACGTTCCATAACCATCTTATATGCAAGAATCGTAAAAATTATTCTTGAATGTCTCAACCACACGCATAATGTAGGATGGGTTGATACAGTATTATACCGTTCTATAAATGTATTCTTTTTCATTGTTAAAATTCTCACATTAGTGTAAACAGTAGAGTTTGGTATATTGTATTTATTGAAGAGCGATAGCAACTCATCCATATTATTTATATCAGCCATTAAAATACGTGGGTACTTTCTTACTATTACAAACATATCTTGTCCTGCTATTTTAACATCTTTAAATCTCTCTAAAAAGGCATTTGCTTCGTCCATACTTAGAGTTAACAGATAAGGATGCCTGTTTAGCTATAAGAATTAAATTAATTTTAGATTATTTTGTATCGCCAACACTTACAATATTATATAGAAAATAGAGAGTAATTATACTTACAATCTCTTTATCAAACTGAAATGTGGTTTCTAACATATTTATTACATTAAACATCTCTCTGAAACTTTGATACTTAAAGCGATGATACCTTAAAAGAGACTGGTGATACAATTTAAGATGAACTGTTTTGTAATATGATATAGCATGGAGATAGTAATCTGACGTATCTGCCCAGCCAGATAGGTTTGGAAAAGTGGGTATTTCGAACACTCCAACACTGTTAAACATACTTTTTATTATATTGTGTTCCGGCGATAAATTATGATTTCTTTTGAATGTTCTTAATGATTGGTGTATTGATTGTGAAAACCTGAAATGTAAATAAACATATAAACATAGCATAGGAAAACCTTAAAGTATTAAACAATGCAAGAATTTACCAAAAACAAATGTACCTGAAAATAGTATCCAAACTTATAGTTTCAACACCCATTTCCTGAAGCAATAAAATCCGGTTCGTAATTACTTTAGGTTCAAGTTTTAAACATTCCATCAAAAAGGTTACATTTTGAATATCCACTGTCAGCTTCTAATAAACACAAGAAAGGAAGTTTGTTAACAAAATTAAATTATAGGATATGAAATTATAAGTATTCGAATAAAATAACCTTAAGTATCGAACAGTTCTGAATGAGCCTTTTCTCGGATAACTGTGAAACAGTATCATCCGTCCTCCTTTGTATATTTTTAATGGTATCATCATCTAACGCTAACTGAGTAGCTAGTATTTCACCGATATCTATTTTTGTCGAAAAACACAGATATGATTTTCCAAAAGATGTTTCAAACCATTGTTTACGGAATATCCGTTTATACATCTTTTTTCATAACTATTTGCTAATCTGGCATTATCCAACACAAGAAATTCAAAGAGAATAATCACGTGCGAGCGTGCACGAAATTTAAGAAAACTAAAATATTTACATATTTTTGATGATTATTGAATTCAAACGAAGGTTATGTTTCATGTAATGTAACAGGTATAATTTTGTAAATATAAAAGTCACTCATAAAAATTAAGAATAATTTGACTTTCAATAACTTTTTGTATTACTTTATAGAACGATGTAAATAATATTGACCTTCTCAGATTTAACGGATTATAGATAGGAAAACATAAGATATAACATCGCTCCAATCACATCGATGTAGCCACAAAATAATAACACTACTATTCGTTTAATTTAGATCAGAATAAAACACAATAAAATTATTGCATCGACTGTTTCGTAAAATTTTATACTCTTTGAAACGTTTAAAGATTTTTCGATCTTTTGTCAATAACAAAAACACTTCATTAGGAAAGAATGTTTTATGTATGTACATACGCAAAAGTTGGAATCTACTTAACCATGTGATGTCATAAATTTGAAATGATATTGAAATTGAAGATTACACATACTTAAAACATTATCTCTTACATTCAATAAAATTAAGATTCTTCTTGTATTTCCAATGAATTTTTAATTTTATTTCAATCCCGATAGAACTTTCCTTGTAACAACGCTTTCCAAATATATTGCAAATATTGCAGATGGTTTCCACGCTTCTCTGATCGTTTATTTCGAAATACATAACACAATATATAATGTTACATATGTTGATTCCTCTGAAGATGCAAATAAAAAATGTATGAATATCATAAAGCTACATGTGTGTTAGACACAGATATTTCTAAAAATAAATAAGATATGAAAGTTTCACTGTTATTTCTTTATATATGCAGTATATTCCTTTGACAAGAACTATTATTACAAAGACTCGAGTGAAACCAATACGAAAGATTAATCATAGATTTTACCGGGTTTATTACTTCGATACATGGTTACCTTCAAGAATACTAGTTAATACCAAATGACAATTAAAGAAAGAAAACCTTCGTATCTCAATTAATTTTAGAGATACTGAATTTTATAAAATATTTCGTTTTACACACTATACGATTAATTGTCGCGAAGAGTTAAATCTCAGATGGTTTAATTCGTAAGATCACAGGAACACTGGTGCACGGTAAAATCGCTAATTCTGTAACAACAGCCGTAACCAGATCAGCTGGTGTAACATCATACGTAATGTTTAAAAGATTCAACGATTTCTTGGTTTTCCAATTGGCGAGCTGGGATTTCTTTGTGCCATATCCCTGCGCAAGTTCGTCCGCATCGCCTGAAGTATTGAACGAAATTATTCAAAGAATAATACCAATGATTCGCACACGCGAGAAATAATGCCTACCTAATTCGTTATAAACAATAGAATCCGTCTGTACACGTTCATAGGATTTGTGGGTCTCACAGGCCACTAACACTGGAATATTGAAGGCTCTCGCCATTAAGGCAACTTGGGCAGTACCGGTTCTCGACATTACCGCACCATTGGCCAATATCGCATGAGCACCCAGGAAGACTTTACTCACCTAATCATCAATGGGAAATCGATAAATGTCAATTCCGAGAACACGATCAAAGAAAAAAGAAAAGAAGCTATTGTTTTGCGTCATACTTCTGGCATTACGTAGCTCAGAGCATTAATTAAAATATAAGAACATTCAATGCCGTGTTTCGCTAGACGTCTGAGCTGTTCTTTCCCTTCTAACCAAGGCCTTCCATCGACAACGATAACGCGAAACTGTTTATTCGCCGTGTGCGCGTCGAGTAGGATTTTATGAATTAAGGACGAGCTAGAAGCAACATCAATCTGCTGTTACTCAACTTAATCTCAATTCGATAGTGATTTTATTGTCTATGGACACTTACTAGCCGTATGTCAGAATAACATCACCATGAGAGATTTTTTTCTGAATGGTTAGCGATATTGCCTTGTCAGCAAGTTCTATTTGTTCATGAATGTAGGTATCTATGGCGTTGCATAATTTATATTTTGCCTGCAATATGTAATATACTTTCAAACGTTGTATTTTATAAAAGAGACTTTAAACTACTACTTACATCTGCATCGGATAATGCAGGTGGTAATTGTGTCATTTGTCTCATCAGATGCCTCAACGCATTTTGCATAGAAACGGCTGATGGCCTGCAATGATGTAAATACGCCATGGACTCTAGCAAGCTCGCCTCGAGACCTCTGATAAAGTCTGCCTGGGAAGGCCGCTCAAAGTCTTGAATAAGCTGCTTCACAGCAGCTAGAAGTGCCACGCATCGTGCATTGCTACCTACTATCACTTTTCGCGCGTACTGAGTACCTAGTCTGACTATCGCTGGATGTATGTGCGAGTTAACCGCTAGAACATCAACGATTGCTTGCTCTCTTTCATGGTACAAATGTTTGAATAAATTTATTTCGTGGGCATTTTCTTTTAGAATACTTTTCTTAGGCGGTACAGGCTTTTTCACGACGACGTCAGCTTCACCTGTAAGTTGATGCGTCGTTCGTGTTTTATTTTCTTCAGTCTCTTTAGTTTTTACTTTACTTTTGTCCTGTAAAAGCTGTTGCTTCACTGCTCTTTGTGCTTCCTGTTTCGCTCTTCTTTCAGCGCGTAACTCTGCTTTACTTTTCCCTTCGGTGTTCACTTCTAATGGTGCACTTTTCTTCACGGATGTATTACAAGCTTTATCGGTTGTATTTGGACTTTGAATATTTTCACCAGGCGCATTTTCTAATGTCACTGTAGCCTGTTTATTCTTAGTACTATCAGAGGCTGTAACCTTGGCGCCGATGCTATTTTTATTTTGTTCCTTATCAGTTTTTGCCTTTGCTTTTGCAAGCGCTTTAGCCGCTTTCTTCGCTGCACGTTCTCCTTTTACTTCTTCTCTTGTTTTTTCCGGGATATTCATTTTATTCTCGGTCATCCTTGCAGGTCCCGGCGATTTTAATAATGGCGCTGTTCCCAATCTGTCTAGATCGGTGTTACCTAAAGACAAGAAATCAGTATATTTAATGCTGTTTATTAAACAATTTAATTAAACATTTCATAAGTATCCCCACCTAATGGAAAACCTGTATTGAATGAATTGTTAGTATCTTGCGCGGAGGATACCTCTTCCTTAGAACTTGTAACTTCTTTTCCGGATGTGTTCCCTTCGGTAGATGATCCGGTCTCCGATTGTACCATGGTTGAAGTAACACTCTCTGCGCTTTTTTTTATAACAGAAATAGAAGACTTATCTTGTAATTCACTATCATCAGAGGACAACTTATTATCTTCTCGCGCTAAAGTTTTACTATCGACTTTAGAAGAATTATCGAATTTCAAGTTTTTCACGTTTTCAAGGAGCTCTCCTTCAGAAGACAATGTTGTTCCTATCTGAGACTGCACACCGGCTTCTAATTTATTTATGTCTCTATCTAACAATGTAATATTTTCATTTGGTTTAATACCACAGAATCCTAACTTACAAGCATTTTGTGTACAGCGTTGTGCATTAGATAATTCGGTACTTTCATCGGCTGCTACGAGATCAACGCATTTCACTAATTCTTGTGGAGCGGGAATATTGTCCAAGCTGTCGATTTGTTTTGTTTCAAGCACCTGCAATGAAGTATCTTCTTTTATACAATTAATTCTAGTTCGAATTGTTTCTATTATCTTTTCTTTAAATTGCGATGCAACTACTACATCCTTTGAATCTTCATTGTGTTTCTCATGATGACTTTGTATTTCATTTTCAAATCTCAATGGTCCAGGTGGTGATTTGGACAAACATGATAATTTTGGGCAATTTTCTTCGGACTGTACGTTCTCTGGTGTTAATTCTGTTTGTTCTTCATTGCTGTGAGCATTATAAACCTGTGTTTCAACAGCTTTTTGCTTGAGATTATTAACAATATCTGTCTCAAGTTTGGCACAACAAATTGAATCGTAATTTGCCGTTTTAATATACTTTAAAAATGGTTCTATAGGCGAATTGTAGGCATTCCGTAACCTGTGAGCCTTGGACTTAGTTATTGTTTGTATGTCCTCCGTGTCTTTCTCAGCAACTTCTTGATCGCTAAGCTTTTCGGTAACAGGTAAGGGATTTTTACAATACGACTCACAGTACAAACAACAAATGTGCAGTGACTTTGTCTTATTCTTCTTTCTCAGTCTACGAGCTTTAGACTTTGTTATAGCTTTCGGTTCAACATCAACATCTTTCTTAGCAACAGATTCTGGGATAGATTCAACATTTATCCCATTGAATGAACAGTTTTGTTGTTTTTCAGCCTTACGAGCATCATGTAATCGTTTACGACGAAGATGTCTAGCAGTGGAAGGTGTACAGAATCTTGGTTGGTTGTTTTCTACCAACTAGAATAAAAATATTTCGTATTACCGAATTATAACTATCATTGAGTCTCCTAACTACATATGGTTAACTAAATTGATGTATAATATGTACACATTAAAATTATGTTATAGTAAACAAGCGACAAAGGAATCTTAAGTATCCTTGTATTGTGTAAATTATTTTAAATAAAAAAAAATACACTTTGAATATATAAACAGGTCTATGAAACAATTAAACTTATGTTGAATCATTAAATTATCATCTCTTTAAACGATAGGCTAAATTATAAAATTATTATACACAGAATTAAATAAAAATTAATATTCCAAGTGAAAATTAATAATGCCCTCTTTCCAATATTGTTTTAAATGTTTATATTAAAACATGCAATGCATATATGTACAAAGAATATATAATTAGATTTGTAGAAGGATCAAGTAATCGAGAAAATAATTTTACAAGAAGCAAAAAATAGAATAGAAAAATTCTGATATTAAATTGGAATATTAAAATATTTACGGACATGTTCCTCCTGGTCCATCATCACTGTATCAATTCTCAGTCAGGGACATACGTAGCTTCAAGCTGGGAACCCCAATACAACTTTAGAAGATAAAATACTTCTCTTTATATGCAATAATGGCTTTCACAAATAACTTAATAGTTAACACATAGTAACGTAAAATATTAGTCATTTATTTTCACATGTTTTAAATTCTTTGCAATGAGATTTGAATCATTCTCGAATAATAAGAAACTTCCCATATGGAATTTTATGTTAAATATTATGATATTAAACAATTTTTAAATGGTTAGATTATGTAAGAACTTACTAATAATCGACTGAAACAATAATTTCAAATATCAGCTCCTGCTTTTCTTGCTTTTATGCAATCGCGAACAATAATGATGCAATGCTAACATACTTTAAATGTTAAAGAAATGATTATTTTTATGATTTCAACAGTGTGTATTGTTATATGTAACATTAGAAAATACGGCTGAGAGCACAATTATGAACATACAATGCATAATTACTGCATTCTAAGCTAAATGCTTAAAAATAATTATGCAATTCTATCATATAATTAAAATTTTTTTTTTTAAATGTCACGAAACAACGTTCATTGCCAAATCAAACCTTTTGACAGTCTTCAAATTATTTTACATGAATATAAATATTTGAAGAACTTAGAGAATATTTCGTTTCCGAATCAATGTTCTTCCAATAAAGGATAGTTTAAATAATTTAAATATCTACGATATAAACTTACAGTTATGTTTCTAACCTCTAATATATTCCTTATGTTTAATAAAAACTGAAATTAAATAACATGTAATTGAAAAACTACATGTGCGAACCAAGTACCTTCAATCCTGGTAACTGTATATTTATTAACACTATGTGTCGAAGAGGAACAATTTCTATTCACTTTTGTAAAATTTCCAGACACCTATTTCGTTTTCTTACCATACTCTACAAAGGAACGATGCCTCCATCTACAGGTACCGATATAAGATTAATCGTGAGAACAAAAACTTTGGATCTTTTTTTCAAAGAATATATATCATTTTTTAAAAATGAAATTCTCGTCTAAGGTATAAATGTAAATTTATGTATCTAAAAATTGTATAACCAGCAATGAAATAATTTTAAACAAAAGCAATAATGATATAACAAATCCTGTAAACAAAATTATACGAATGTAAGAATAGGTTATAGAACGTACATTACTGTTTAAAAAAGATGTTCTATTGGAAATATTAAATTCGTATATCAGTACATTATTTAATAGAGGTCTATAGAATTACGGTAAAAAGATGGGAAGAGATTTTGTTTTTTTTTTCTTTTTATGTTTTATTTATACAATAGTCTGTACGATTCTTAGATCACTTCTTCTGCGCTGCCGCTGCTTCGTCCTCACGCTGATAGGACTGCAATAATTCTTGTTTCTTCGTAGCGATACGTTCTGCTCTGCGTTTACGTGCTTCCCTTACCTTAGTACGACGCGCTTCAGCTTGGTCTGAAAGCATTTCTGCTCTTGCCTTCTCAGCCTTTTTCTTGTGAATGAATTCCATTAGAACTCTCTTGTTCTTGAACACGTTACCCTTGGCCTTCATGTACAACGAATGGTACAGATGTCTGTCAATTTTCTTTGTCTCACGATACTTCTTCAAGAGTCTACGAAGAACTCGCATTCTTTGAATCCATAAATCCTATAAATAATAAAAGACTTTTATTATATTATTGGTAACATAATAAAGAGATAGCCCGTAAGTGTTATTACAAAAGATAAACTGTAAATTTTTATAAATTCAAATGTATTTACCTTCTGCGGTGTACGAGCATTTGCTGTACCCTTCCTCTTACCGAAGCCACAATGACGTCCTTTACGTCTAGCTTCAGTGTTTTTACGAACACGTGCTCTGGAATGCACAGCCACAGGCTTCTTAATGATGAGACCATCTTTGATCAGCTTCCTAATACTTTGACCTAAAGAAAATATAAAATTTGTACACATATTTTGGGATTCAATGAAAAAAAGGGGAATAATGTTTTACTTACGGGAATTTGTATTTGCAATTTCATTGATTTCATTAGGATCCAACCACACCTTTTTCCGACCGCATCGCATAACAGAGGCTGCGAGCCTCTTCTGTAACTTGAGCGAACTGAAACAAACAGAACGAGGTTATGTTATGAAGACCACTAATTGTAATAAAAACTGTTCTCAGTCGTATCGAATCATTATTTATACGTAATTCAGTTGATTCGTTCATAGAGATATGACTATAATCGATTAAGCACTACACAACGTGTGAAAATAACATAAACTAGATACATTGAACCATGTGGTCGGTCTTCGATGAATGATCAACGCAAAACCAGAAAAATATCATATTTTCTATGAAACATCACATTTATAAACGAATGCAAACACTTTTCTCGAAAATATAAGTGAGAAAATTTATATTTAATGCAATACTGTCAAAATATTTAGTTAAATTTTAAGAGGATCACTACCTCATGACGGAACTACGAGTCCTCCTTGGTAAAGAAGAACAAAATGGCAAAAACTACATTTCCTGTGTTCGTAGTCTGACGGAAGCAAGAAGCGAAAAGGCGGGTAAATTTAAAATTTTTAAACAACTTTGATAATTTTGTTAGAGCGTTTGTTGCAAATAACAATACGTTTACGGTGTGATATGTACGCGTTCGGTAGTGATTTTAAGCCAATAAGTAATATTCGATGTGAAATATTAATTCATAAGTATAATTGATTTTAAGGAATTCATACGTATCGTTTGAACTGGACAGATCGAAGAGTATATAATTTATAAAAAATGATCAACTATTTGTCGAAAGATAAGAGAAACGATTAACATTGAAATAATTCGATAGAAAACGATAGTAAGTAAGGATGTTCAGAAGTCGCGTAATTCGGCAATTTGAAGGCACTGTTGGATAGAAAACTGAATATCTATAGAATACAAAAACATTCTCGCTCGACGACAACGCTTCCTTATATATTTTATTCTTTCTTCGTTGGTTATTTAATACTCGAAAAATATATTTTCCAATTGAACTACACACGAGTCCGATATCAGAATTTCCCGCCAAACGTGACTCGCGAATAATAAGAAAGGGATATGGAACATTGTATAACCCATTCGTGATATTTCCGTAGAACGTATCGTTATCGTTTTGGATAATGCAAAGGTGACGGGAAAAACTGGTGAGTGAATTTCATTATTTGGAACATGGGACAAAAGTTTCCACCGATCCTGAAATCTATCTGTGCGGCTCGTGTACGCGTTGATAGCAACGCGCAGATCATAAAAAGTGACGTATGGCCTTCTAAAGACTTATATTTGGACCTGTGACCGGTGTGCAGTGAATGTCCGGTTCAGCGTGACACACGCTTCTCCGTGGACGACAGTGTGCGATAATTCATCGAGCAGAATGGAGAAGAAAGTCGCTGTGAATAAAGATTTACAGCGTGAACGTGATAGATGTACATTCGATCCCTTGGAACTGACCCATCTGCTGGATGGTGGTCCAGAGAAGACTCAAGCTCGTCGTGACCGAGGTATTTAAACAATTATTTGAAATTTCAATCAGTCTCGTTGTTGACATACATTCGTACACGAATTCGGATTCCGCGGAACTATATTAAAAACAAGTTACACGTGTAACGGTTAACAATGGTTACGAACCGATGGTCACAGTACGATAGAATGAAAATATTCAAATGGCTGTTGTCGTCGCGTCAGTGGTTTTAGGGTAGTTGACAATGAAGTTGCTTTAATATTGTTCGCACTGCAACCACTAGACTGAAATTTCCGATTTCTCCTGTTACGATTCTATACACATATATGGTAGTCGTGTAGAAACGCTTTCCCCGAAAATTAAAGAATAAATTCTTTATTATGTATAGATTATGTAGGCCAATTTATACGTACACTATTATTTATTCGATACCTTTTCACTTGTTACTTTTTACCCAAGAGTTCCATTCCGGGGAAAGCATCTGTTGGAATGCACCAGTTTCCCGAGCAAAGTTATCTTGGTTTTAACTAAAGCGTCAAATTATTTCAACTGATAAATATTGAAATTTACTTAAAATGTTTCTTACATTGTATCTAAATGAATGGAAACACGGCGACAAAGTTCGTATAATTAAGATAGCATTCTCGTTTTCTTAATTGCGTTGTAAATAATTTAGTTGTAAAAAAAAATAAGAGATTTAATCGATTTACGTAGTTGATGTTACACTGACAAAGTAACGAAATCAAAGGTCGATCGTACTAGAAAAATCATCATGATAAAAAGATGAACGAGATGACTTGTCGATTAGATTTAATCGTTTGCCATAGGCGAAAAACATGATCTTTTGCACACCATTATCGCCGCTACGACGGCACGACACGGAAGCATGTAGAAACAATTTTGTTTTCTTTAAATTACTTTTTTCTTTTTTTTTCTCCGTATTCTTATATCACTCTCCGAGAGATCGTATCTGATCGTATCGTATCGTATCGTATCGTATCGTATCGTATCGTATCGTATCGTATCGTATCGTTTGTCGATTTTTCGATTTTTCGATTTATTTTCAATACCCCGAATCGATGCACAATTCATGCGATTATGAATATTTAAAATTATAATTCAGTTCATGGATATTGATGGAATTACTGGTACTACTGTATCACTGTACTACTGATAATTACTGGTAATTGATTATGTGTTCCGTTCGAACCCGTTTATCGATGGTTTCCGTGCAGTTGTTTTTTTTCCCTCAATTTTTGAATACCTTTCATTTCAATTCATCTATTTTCATATCACAATTAACGTCAATTCCAATCTTTGGACTGTAAACTCTCGTTAATGCTCCTCGATAAGATTATTTATAAAATTTGTCATATGCCTTGTTACAGATGAAGATAAGATAGATTGGAAATTGAATGTATTGTATTTTTAAAAGCAAACTTGTTGCATCATCTGTATTGATTATTCAAATTAATCCATTAAGTTTCATGAACAGCCTTTCCAGGAAAAGCGCTTTTTTATTCAATGCTGACACATTCGTTAATTATGATTCGTTAATTTTAATTTCTCTTCATTTTACTGTCGGTCGTTAACTTCTTTATGCATACATAAAAACATAAAATATCGATGTACGCGCCACTGTTACAACAATTGTGTTTTAGAACAATTGTTTCTGGATGATCCAGAATTACAAGATGAAATACCAATAAAATACAAGAGTCATAAAGAGATATACGAAGACGGAGTGCGTAAAGCATGCATAGTTTTGAAAAAAGTACGCAAGTTACAAGAAGAGGGGAAAGCTGGCATGGATGTTTTCTCGTATGTTCTTTGTTGCTATTACGTATCATTTGTTAAATGAAAAGACATCGTTCCTAATGAAAATATTTTTCAGACATGTTCTAGGGGGAATGTTCGGTTCTGGTTTATTGAAAGATGGAAATCCATTGGTGCTTCACTATGCTATGTTTTTGCCAGCAATTATGGGGCAAGGAAATCTAAAACAACAAGAATATTGGATATCCAGATCTTGGGACGGCAATATTATTGGAACTTATGCTCAGGTAAAGTGTAATACCACTTGTGTAATGATTATGTAAGAAATGTTATAGTTTTAATGATATATATAAATTTGATATTTTACTTTTTCTTTTTATTAAAGACCGAACTTGGTCATGGAACTTTTATTAGAGGTTTAGAAACAACAGCAACATACGACGTTAGCACAAAAGAATTCATACTGAATAGTCCAACTTTAACATCTTACAAGTGGTGGCCTGGGGGCTGTAAGTATTTTACGCAAAATACTAGAATAATTCATATTTCTCTAACTATAGAGAAATTAAAATTTTTATTTTAACATCTAGTGGGCCATACAGCTAATTACGCGGTAGTGGTCGCGCAATTATATACGCAAGGAGAATGCAGAGGAATCCACCCTTTTATCGTGCAATTAAGACACGAGGAAACGCATGAACCCTTACCCGGTACATAAGCATTTTATGCAACGTTCTTCTCTATCCGTAAATCGAAGTTATTCGCGTTGTACAGCAGAAGAATTTATTTTACTATTCGTTTATTACGCAGGTATTAAAATTGGAGAGATTGGTACCAAGTTGGGAATGAACGCAACAAATAACGGGTTCCTCGGATTCGACAATGTCAGAATACCCCGCGAAAATATGCTCATGAAGAATTCTCAGGTAAAAGAGAAAGCGCGGTACTTTCACGAGGTATAAAAGGTGGAAAAGAAAACAGTTCTATTTCTACTCGGTAAAGTAGAAATATTTTGACGAATGTACGTTAAATCAATCGTTTCTTGAGCTTAATGTTTAACGAGCAATGATTTTTTACGTATTTTTCTTTTTTCTTTTTGTCTGTTTTTCGCTCAATCATTTTTTTCTGGCAGTGAACGTGCAAGGTAAATGACATATTACTCGCATAAGTAGAAGAACTGTCGGCAAACGGGAGTCTAAGTAAGAGGAATTTATGAATTAGCTTTCTATTTATATAGGTCCTCGAAGATGGCACATACGTAAAAGGTGTGAACGACAAATTGACCTACGGCACGATGATGTTCGTCCGCGTAGTGCTTGTTCATGACATTGCAAGTTATTTATCGAAAGCCGTCACGATTACGACTAGATACAGCGCAGTGAGGCGACAAAGTCAAATTAATTCGGAGTGAGTAAACTTCAATGATAACCTTGAACCGCGAAGAGAGTAAAGTCTAAACGTATTAAAAAGTATTCTGAATCGGTGTGTTTCAACAAGTTCTACGTAGATAGAAACAATTATTTTCAAAGTATTATAGGAAGCTTATAAATAACGCAGAATAGTAATGAAAGAAATTTTAAATCTGTTTACCGTTGACTTATCAGGGAACCAGAGGCACAGATTATTAACTATATAACACAGCAGTATAAGATCTTCCCGAATCTTGCTGCTTGCCTAGCTTTCCGTAGTGCTGCGGACTGGATATGGAACATGTATAATATTGTCACGGGCGAATTAGACCAAGGTGATTTGGAGAGTTTACCCGAAGTAAGGAATAACACTGTTCTCTCTCGTCAGTTTCTTCTTTTTCCTTTTACAATTAATAATTATGTAACATTCTTCCGTAGCTGCATTCGTTGTCCTGTTGCCTGAAAGCGGTCGCATCCTCGGATGCAGCCACTGGAGTAGAGCAATTGCGATTAGCTTGCGGTGGACACGGATACATGGATGCTAGCAACCTCCCAGCGACTTATGGTTTAGTTACTGCCATTTGCACGTACGAAGGAGAGAATACTGTTTTATTACTACAAACGGCGAGATACTTGGTTAAAACCTGGAAATTAGCTATCGACGGCCAACCGTTGCCAATCACTGTACAGTATCTTTTAGTTTTTTCCAGAGGTGGCAAACAGAGGCCTTGGCAGAATAGTTTGGATTGTATTATCGAGGCCCATCAAGCAGTCGCCGCTGGGTAATCCTTTTCTTACCGATACTGACGTTTAATACGCAATACGATCGATAATATGCAATACGATTTTGTTGACAGAAAGATTCGTTTGGCCACAGAAAACTTTGAGCGTAGAATACGCAGTGGAGTGTCACAGGAAGATGCTTGGAATGAGACCAGCATCGAATTAATGCAATGCGCGGAGGCTCATTGTAGGGCGTTCATAGTAAGGACGTTCATAGAAGCTGTCAGGGAAAATACTTCGGTGTCGAAAGAGTTGTGCGTTATATTGCAACATCTCTGTGAACTGTACGCTGTGTACTGGGTGTTACAGAGACTCGGTGATTTCCTTCGAGTGGGTACAATATAATAAATACGGTCAATGAGCCATCTCGTTGCTTCGTCTGCTAGAGCTTCTTCAACTTGATTTCGTTTGTTTAGTACTCCTCGTTGACGAACGAGGATGTTCCATCGCTGCAAGCTTGGCTGGAAAACCTGCTAGCCGCTATCCGTCCAAACGCCGTCGGTATCGTCGATGGTTTCGATATTCGCGACGAAATTCTTTCCTCGGCTCTGGGTGCTTACGACGGTAATGTTTACGAACGACTGTTCGCAGAAGCCATGAAGAGTCCCCTGAATCAGCAAAGCGTGAACGAGTCTTTCGAAAAATATTTAAAACCATTCCTTAAGAGCCATTTGTAGTACAATGTTCTGCAATTCTATTCCATTTACTTAGTAATGTTATCAAAGACAATTCATTATTGTTACAATCATAGTATATATTGAAGTTGTCGTTGTCTGAACTTCGATTTCAGTTGTTCCCAATAGGAAAGTTGACAACTTTATAGAGTATATAGAATTTTTATTATCAATTTGTATTTTGAAGAGTTTACGAATATATATTTTTCTACAGCCCTATTAGAGTAACATTGTAAATACTTGAGTAAAATCCCGTCCGCGTTTTACAGTTAATTCGCGGATTTTCCTACAGAATATTGTTAAAAACTACTCTTTTCAGGAATGCTCGGCCATTCCATGCAAAGGTATATTTTCAACGTTTTATACAGAACGAATATTTTCTATGTACTTTTACTACTAATAAAGAGTACCTTACAGAATTTACATTTTGTTAGCTTGGTCCGATTTAGCTCGACGACTAACCATGCTACGATTACGAGGAATCCGTTGGTAATGCAGAATCGATATCGTCGTGACTTGGAAGTATCGGGACAGATGGCGGCAAAAATGTCTAGAAATAGATATTGGAGAATCGCACAGGGATAATTAGATCGGAAGTTGAGAAAAACCGATCCCGCTACACGTTCCATCGGTGTTCAGATTATTTTCTGTGTTCTCGAAGATTTCTCGAGTTAATAATTCGTACGCGAAGGTGTCGAAGATGTTTGGAAATGTGAATTGGAGAATTCGAAATCGAAGTTTGCTAGCTTTCGTGATCCATACTTCTGACGAAAGTATATATATAGGCATAATTGATTTCGACGGGGTTCAGGATCAATTTAGGTTCGATCGAAGCAGACTGACAGAATGATACTATTAATTGGAGTAATGTTATAAAAGATATTTTATTGGCGTTCGGTGTTTGGCGCGCAAAAGATGGCACCACTCGAGTATCGAACAAACACGTGTAAATACAGCATGCGTCTTTCGTATTAGTTGTTTTTCCCTCGTTCGCGTGTGATGGTTTTACGTAGCCTCTAATTTTGTAGTTGAGATGAAAGCCTTTGAGAGAAATTTCTTCACGCTTCGTAAACGATACGCTCTATCGACAGATTCTTTTTTCTAACTAATCAGCTTTAAAGAAAACGATGAAGCTGTTCTCTCGAATAGCAGTTGGACGGAAAGTTCTGCAGGGAAATCGAAGGAGGGAAAAATAGAAGAAGGAACTGATTTGGATTCCATTTATTGCAACTGATTTACCCTAAACACAGTATGTTTTTTCTCGTCTGCAAGTACCCTCGATGGGGCGTACCTTAACCTTTCAACTCGTTCCGATCGTTTTGCTTAGTATCGATATTTATTTGCGACCTTATCCAACATAACCTGTACATTGAATAGCTGTTTAAATAGTTTTCTCCTTCCAAGTCGACCCTATCAATACACTTAAATCGTACCTTTATTACTACGCATATCGTTACAATATCCTCGAGACGTCTAGACGCATTATAAATAAGCTTATAAAATAGCGTCGAGCTATTTCACGAATCGATAAGATCGATTTAGAAGCAGTGAAAAAAGTTCGTTCACGAGAACGCGCCGATCGATGAAGTATTTCGTACCTGAAAAATATAGTTCGACATCGCGGCAGGCGATCAACGATACTTCACATTTTTATCTAACGAATATCTCGAATCACGTGACGTGGGGTTTTTCGGGGTAGGTGATACGCGATTGGTTATCGCCTCCCGCGATGTTGACGGTTGACACGACGATCAAGTTTTAAACGCTTTTTGCCCGTAACATCCAACGATCGTTTCAAAGATAGACTACGCGTCAAGGTAAAATGGAATTGTCAGATTGTCACGGGGGACGAAACAGATAGAATAGAGAACAGACAGAGCAGACAGAACAGACAGAACGGAGAGAAGAGCAAAGAGTGAGAAGTAACGAGAGAACCAACAGAAACTACGATCAATGGGATTGCAATGCTTTTCGTACGAAATTCCTCTCTCTCTTACGTAATACATGGCAGTTTGGGCATGATATTTCATTTATCCCGTGTTACGTCGGGTAATGCGGCGACGGCGCCCGTTTCTCGCGACCCAGGTAGAAACACGTTCGATGCGCTAATATCATCGGATCTGGAATTTCAATCTAACGAGATTCCAACTAGCCTATACCCTCTTTCGTCTGGATCGTTTACCATTCGGAGTACACCTGTGAAAACGAAAAACGGAAAGTTTGCGTCGGTCGTTGCGGGCGGCAATAAATGCGACGATTCGTATACGTAAAATTCATATTATTATTGCACAGGACATAATAGTGACATAACGTTATATATAAGACATTATAGCCGCATAACATCGTATATATAAGATTATTTATTACGATGTATGGAAATCCTCCAGGGTGTTTCACAACTGCGCGCCGGGTGAACGTTGGTAGCTGTCAAGTCGACTGATACCGCGCGCGACCTATGGAGTATTAAAAGATACGGAACACCGCTCTATGGTGTTCTCCCGTTCCATTTCCTTTTCATTTTCATTTTCATTTTCATTTTCATTTTTCCTACGAATAATAACAGACAAAGTTCCGTGTTCCGAGGAATCTCTGGAGACGCGGCGTAAATCGATGCCTCCTAAGTGGCGCGACTAAAAATCGATTACGAGTTTATGCTCTATCGTTTCGAATAAAAGGAACGTCCTGTCTCCACGATACCGATTGCTCGTCAACTACGCGACGCTCGAACAAACAGAGAAAAGAAACATTTTTAACTGGTCTAGCTTAATATCGCGTTCTACCTGGGAAGAGGCGAACGTGGCGCGATCGGATCTAGAGAAATCAAATTACGTCACGGTAACGATCCGCGGGATCACCGGAAGTCTAACGGAGAGGTTAGGTAAAGCAAATGTCAGGATTTTCGGAGAGGGGAGAAAGGGAGATCGCTTGGTCCTACGTGAAAAAGTCAATAAATTATTACAATGTACTTCGCGATACTGATCGACCATGGGATAAATACCGATGGACGAATATTTTGGAACAAAGAGATATATATATATATATTTTTATCTATATATATTTTATGCATTGTTCGTTCAACTCGAGATTAGAACAATGTCGCTCGACTCGTTCAGGAACGTGGTTAAAGTTCAAAAAACAGGGGGGAGGGGCTCTTAACGTTAAATGCAATTCGTAGAATGTTTCTACCGACACTCGTAGGTGTGGCAACCCGAAATCTCGTTTCGCGCGCAAACGGAACGCTGTCGTTCGAACTGGCGCCCATCGTTTTTCCCGCTCTAACCTAAAACTGAACGAACAACACACGTGTATATTCGTGTCCTTTCTTTCCCTCTCTTTTTATATACCACCTTCGTTAGTTTTATTTTCAATATATGGCATAGGCGTGTTCCTTTCATTTTTGTCAGTCGGACGACGAAGAACCGTGTGTACACGTGTGTGTAATATACGCGTTACGTGGCGTGTCGCCCGGTACCCGGGAAGAGAGACGGTTCTACGTACGCGTGGGAAATTTCAACGTGTTTTCTTATCCATGGCAAATAGAATCCCTCTCGACCAGCAGAAGAAACCCTTCTCCTTAGGATGCAAGATGTCCCGTGGGTTGCGGAGGTGGAAGAAGGGAACGACACCCGGCAGTTGCACCTGTCTCTCCATCTTTTCCGTTTTTTCCATTTTTTCCAATTTTCCCATCGTTTTTCCGCTGTTCGTCTTCGACGGAAGATAGCACGGTCGCATGGAACTGTGTATAGTTACGTAGTCGCTTACTGTGCTTAAAATGGCACGTCAGAGTTTCTCTCTTTATCCGCTAGGGTGCATGGCAATCGTCGCGACCGCGTCGCTTCCGTCGCATTATTATCATTATATTCTTCTCCCGTTTCTTCTCTTCTCGGTTATTAAACGACAATTTCTCGAAACGTCTACCTTCCGGCGATCCGTAATAAAAAGATAATACAGCTACACGTATACGTATGTATATATAAAAAGGAAAAAGACAACCACAGAAAATCTCGAGAAATCGAATCTCGCGAATACGTCCCAGTAGATTCCGTTAAAAAAAACGTTCGTTCCCATTTCGCGAACGTCCGTTCTCAGATGACCAGTCTGAGAACGAGTGAAATGTCCCTAGATCCCACTAGAAAACCGGGAATGGGTCAAGGCCCGACTCCGAGGTC